ACCTAGATAAAACGATTACAGTTTACTCTGTCAGCTAAAGGTTTAACGCAGTTTATATGTTCCTAGACCTAGTTAAAACGCTTAAAATTTACTCTGTCGACGAAAGGTGTAACGCCCTTCATATGTCCCTCCTATTACGGAGAAGAAATTGCAAGCCTTGTAGATACTATTAGGAAATCAAAGAAAGAAAACCTTTAGCTTCATGACCGACATTAAAACGGTTATTTTATTAGCCGCAGGTACCTCTAAGATTAGATCCAATAGCTATTTCTTGGGCCATTTAATATAATCTTATCAGCTCTTTGAAAACACATCAAAGTAAATAAAACTACGGAAGGAGTTTAAAATTTCATCAATAACAATACAAGTTTCTTTTGTACCGATCACCGGAGGATAACGTACGTATATGCTTGATCCGCATCAAATTGCGAATCGATGTAAACATGCCCTTCTGTTCGGTTATCCGGTCATGCGGTTGTGTAATGTCTGCTGTAGACCAACTCCTGGCCGCAAAAATAAAATTATCGACTTTAAATTTGGCCGAAATACCGAAGGCGGATTGGTATTGCAAATGAGCCAGATCGATGAAAGGACAGACCTACAATGCCACGTAAACTGAGAAGCTCTCTGTTTTTCAAAATGAATAAAACATAAGCTCTCTGCTCATCACTGCATAAATCAAACCAGATAAGCCTAAAAAAAATTGCAGATGTATTCTATGGGCGATGCTGTACAAAAAAAGAGGAAAAATTGACCACGCCTATCCAATATTATAGTATAACAAAATTTTACCTCTTTTTTAATACCTTTGTAACGCCAAGAAACAAGGTTCAAAAATCCTATAAATTATATAAATTCATGTCCATCTTTTCGTCTGTCCATCTGGCCAACTATATCGCAGCAATGTCTGTGACAAAAATTCTCTCGTCTCCAAATTTGCCAAAAAGCTGCAAATGACTCAAACCAGTCAAAGAACACTCCTACCATACTATGAAAATTAATTTATCTCATTTAATTTTTTTAATTTTTTTTAGAATAAGCGCAATAGATATAAGAAATTCGATGGTGACAGAATATAATTTTCTTACTTTTTTCTTTTTAATATGACCAACCGCCACTCAGAAGATGTCCATATCTTTTTCGTTCGTCATGCAAACATATGCAGTCTCAATACGATACGGCACAAGGAGAAGGGATCAGGGCGGCGCCTAGTAAAAGGAAGAACAAATCTTTTTTGGGGAAAACTTTACACACATCTTATTCTTTTATTGTACATTTTAAAAATTTCCAAGTATTTCGAATTTTACTTGAGTGAAAACATGTTTAAGTGAAATGACATGAGTTCATAGAAATTTCACTTTATTGTTGTTGTTGCATAAATGTGTATAAATGCATAATGTGTAAATTATAGAATCTCTCTTACTTCTCAAAAACTTGCTAGCTCAGCTATGGTACGTATCTCATAGGGCTCCATTCCTGTTCAAGTGGTACGACAAAGTTGCCCTAAACCTTCTGTAGATAATAACTTTACACTTTAGAAGTCGTGAAGCAACAGAAGAATCGAATATCAGCAAATCATTTAAAAGCAATAAATTTGTTAAGCTTAAGGCAGAATAATTGAATAATTGACGAAAAATGCTTTTAATTATGAACTCTTCGATTAAAAGAAATTGAAATTAAAGTTAATATAGTTGGGTAGGAGGGAAAGTTTTGACGCAGGGTAATACATGTTTATAAGAACTTTTTCAAATTAAGGATATTGAGAAGATATAGAGAGAGGATATAGAGAAAGGTGTTCTTTAATTAGAACAACCTAAGATATAACCTAGAAGTGAAGACATTGACGCCGCATCTAGGACTTTTTGAAAAACATACTTAAACTAAAAGGAAATAAGACGAAATAAATGCCTCCGAGATATTTATTATTATTCAGTGACATGATTCCTTCTTAAGCATAACTCGTTCTTTTCCATCGAGAAAAAGTGGTTAAAACTTTAAAAATTGTTTTCCTCATTCCCATAATTTGATAGAATACTGATTAGACAAAGTCGAGTGGTCATAGAAGGAGTGGTCGCAAGGAATTCAAATTTTTTCAATAACATGACATGTTATGACAGAAACTTATGGTTTTTCTATATTCAAAAATAGGTCCTTTTCTTTGAAAGGGTCAATCTATTTAGTCAATTGCTAGTTCTTTAAGTTACAACAATTGTCTCAATGTACAAAATTCTTCCTAAAGGGCCACAAATTGATCAATAATTTCTCGGTAATCGACGGTTATACCACGTGTCGCTACCAATATTCTCGTAAAGAAAATGCTTGCTTCATTCCGCTTCAACCGATATTTTTGAGATTATATGAATGGGAAAACAACTTTCAAAAGATTCGACATGAAACTTACATCCTTGAAGACCTCCTTCAAAAGTGGAAAGAGTCGAAGAACCTTTGTCTAAAATTAAATTCGATATATTATTATCGAACGAGGAATTTCCGAGGAAATTTTCCACTAACCTTATAGTAAACAGCACATAATCGCATAGTTTATTAAATTGTGCAATATTGCCTTGGTATCCAAAGATGCCAACAGACATTTAAGCGATTGTTGACAATTTCAATTTATTATTTCTTTAAAAGTACAAAAAAAAAAATCTTCAATTTTACTAAAGGTCATTAAAAAAAAAAAAAAAAAACAAGACACACGGCCAAAAAGATGGTAAAACCATTCATCCATGCATTGAAAATCTCTTGGACTTTTTAAAATGCCATTTAAACAAAGATTTAAAAATATTATGCAACGCTTTTTATCAATTTTTTCTTATTTCTTATTTCTTTTTTTTTTTTTTATTATTATTATTTTATTTATTATTATTTTTTTTAATTAAAATTGGTCATCATTGGCTTTGTTTGTGTGTAAGTGTAAAAGCCTAAATGCATTTTTATTTATTAGTTTAGATGCTTAATTATTGTCATGTTGTCAAAGTTGTTAGCCTTTCTAAATAAGATGAGAGCTGAACCCAAATTCGTATCTAAAATTTAAATTAATGATTATTTTGAAAAACTCTTTAGTAAAAAAAAACTTAATTTTAAATATGAACTGCAGTAGACAGACTAATTTATAAAAGTCAAATGAAACGGTTAAGAAAACTTAATGACCTTAAGACGAACCTTGGATACGTAGTTCTTTATATGAAATTTTTCTTCTTAACAGATGATTAGTTATTGTTAGACGGATGGACAACGCTTGTCTATGATTTTTCAAAATTTAATCTTTATGGCATTTTGACAAAACACTCATGTAATTAATGCGTATAAAGATGATTTCAATTCCTACATTCAACGTGCAATTAAAAGTTCGCTCAAGTTTTTTTGCATCTACGATTTGTTCTCAAGCGAACGTATGGATGTTTTCATTGTAAAGCTGGCCCATCATGTGAAATTCACAGTAACCACGAAAATAGAAGCGTCCTATAAAAAAAAAGTTTTTTGTTTCTATGATGTCCTACACCTCTTAGGTCAAAGGTGAAGGACTTCAAATAGATCCATCTTTATTTAAGCATGTCCGTCGGTGCGCGCGTTTCCGGTCCGTAGTCATATGTTTAACATAACAGTTGAAATTTTCAACACCAATGTCGATAAAAAAAAGAAAAATAAATAACTGAATAGTGGCGGGTTCAAATCTTAAGTGCGGTAGACCCTTCAGTATAGGCGAGTACCTGATATATAATCTAAATTACGTTCCAATCTCAAAATCCATAAACAATAAATAAATGTCGTTGAAAATTGTTTTGATCCGACAATGAATAGTATTGGAAATAGATCTGATCGGGAAATTTTTCCGATCAGTCTCCTATTTTGCGAAACGGGCTTCCCACTTTTAATATTTGTTAAAAACAAATCGGTTCAAAAGTGCATTTTAATTATGCACTAATTGAATGCGGAATATTTTTATGGGACCACCTTTTGAAATATCTCCCAAATGTTTATGTATATATATATATTGGTTCCTTTTTTTTTGTTATTCCCAATTACACAGGGAAAACTTCCCATTCGCGTAACATGATGAAAAATGAGGAGATAGAAAAAAAGAGAGAAATAGGGAGGTGGTGGTGGTAACCTAGTGGGGGTGTGCCCAATCGGTAAATGTTATGCCTTTATCGAGTGCGTACTCATTACAGCTACGACCGAAGTAAACTCTACCGCATTGAGTTTTGAAAAAGCGAACACTCACTTGGCACTTGCGATTCTTACCTACTTGGCTAATCGTGGGAACAAAGCGTGATTTTTGCAATCTTATAATAAAAAATAGTATACAAAGTATAGTTCGCCTACATAGGTTTTTATTAAACAGAAAACTTTTATTTAGCATAAAGATATAATTTTTGATAGTTTATTGCAAAAATAGATGATCAAATGCAGAGTCGTATTTAGGTAAGGCATTTCAAAGCAGACTTTATCTCTGTTTCTTTTAATGAGCTCTTCGATGCATTTTTTATATTTCTTAAACTCTTATTTTACTTATACTGTTCTATGTCTACTTTTTTTCTAGGAAGGCAGTATTGGTCACGATTTGGTAATTAAACCGTTACCGCATAATTTAAGCCCAAATAAGGACAAATCACATCATGTCATATATAAACGTAATACTTTGCCGTTGGATCATTTAAGTGATTTCGGTAAGTTTCCGTATAATCTTCGCTGTATACATATATATCTTTTTTAAAGTGCGAATATGCATTGTGTTACATAATTAAACGGATCTCACGTAGGTGGACTCAATATGGAATATCGATATCTGAAGAAAAAAATTTTATATATATTTTTCAGCATCAAAGATCAAACTTAAATTTGTGTGTAGTCGGTCAAGTGGGCCCAGTGATTGTGTCAAAGCTATATCCTAAATCTAAAAGCACGTAGGTTACTAAATTGACACGCCCTATTGCCGCAAGAATGCCACAATAGAAAATAGTTCTACCTGTCATTGATCTTGCATGTTTTGACCCGGAGATGACTACAGTAAATGTCAACAGCTTGTCCAGCTATTCAACGGCTATAAGTTTTTCGATTTCGACAGTAGCGTAAGGGACCGCGAAAGACGCCCGAAAGTCACCAATTTTATACAAAAAATTCAGATAGGATACATGATCCCCCTCATCGTTCCTCTCATCCAATCTATACCAATCCAATATTCTCTTTCTACTTGCTCCCAACTTCGCGCCCATCTTCGCCACTGTGCGAAACATAGAAAAGTAGAAAGCTTGCCCTGGTCCTTGCGATTCATTGGTATCTAACTAATAGACTACATCCGTGAAGTGGCAGGGAAAGGATTTTTTTTCCTCCGGTAACATTGTTTGCTTAAAAATTGATTCATATACAGGGGTTCCTGTAAAAATTTATACACATAACGGGATTATAATACCAGTATATATTTAGATGGATTACATATTAAGAGAACAAGTATTGATCCAAATATTGCTGAAAAGGCGAAGCAATGGAATTGCAAACGTGGCGAACAGAACCGCCTGTTTTCGGTTTTGCTAGATAAACTTTGTATTTGATGCGTTCCCACAAAAGAAAAATCCAACGGCGCGAGCTTTAAAGAGCACAGGGGCTATTCGATGGCATTTGTTCACCCAATGCAACCACCTGTTTGGAGGATTTTCAATGAGATAAGCTCTTACATCACTATGGGAAGACACGCCATCTTACTGACAACAATAGTCCTTTGCCTCTTCGAATTGCTCACGAATACTAGGCATGACATTTTCCTGCAGCAAATTCGAATAACTGGCACCAGTTCCAGTATTATTAAAAAGAAAGAATAAGGGGCACTCTATCTATGCTGATCGCAAATATTTGAAAATGCACTGAACGTGCTTTTGTGGGTTGAAAAAATAATGCATCGAGAACACCTCCTCGGCTAATACTTCGACTTGAACTGATTTGATGTTTAGAGTAAGCATAAGAGGAACGATTCAAAAAAGTTATTTGTCCTCCCATTCGTCTTAAAAAAAGAAAAAAAAAATTCAATTACCTTTGAAATCCAAGATATTGATTAAATCGATTTAACTATCATGTGGTCATAGTGGTGGCGTTACTTAAAGAATTTTTTTAATAATCATTTATGGTGAATTACAAATTGGAAAAAACCCACCATTCTTAGATCTACGTGACTAATAATAAGATGACAATTTCCTGTTTAGATAAATTTTAATGTAACTAAAATCTTTCGTGACAAACGAACAAAAGACAAAGGCAATGAAAGAAAAAATCGAAAACCGATTAAATTTTCATTTTGTTTTTGTTTTAGTTTTTTTTTTTTTTTGTTCTGTTTCGTATATTCACTTTATTTATATTTTTGAAATTTAGATGATAATGAAAGCATATTAGTTTTGTCATTTCGTTTGTAACTCTCTTAGAAGTATTCTACGGTGAAGTGATAAGGTGCACATAGTACTGAGACAATTCGGTCAAATTATCTGATGCACCTCTTCATCAGGTCCTGTTAGAATCCTTTTTTAAGCATTTTCAAGGCGTGCAATTTTTGCGGTTGCAATGAAAACACTTCGAGGACAAGTGACATTTGGTGCAACAACCTGGTTTTTTTTGTTAAGAAAATTGAAACCTCGTCGGTTCCATATTTAATAGGTAAACAAACAAAAGAAAAAAAACTATGCCATGGGAAAAGAGTAAAGAGATCCCCACGGTTGTAGCCTGTGCATTTAGTAAAATATTACCAGAATGCATGGACTCGCTTAGCGGCTTGGTT